CATTGATGAAAAAGATTCCTCTATGATCTTCCATTTTCTTCTTTCCATCATTATAAATTGGAGGATGATTTTCTGATTTCATACACCTTGGAAAATATACATCAAACACAAGCTAAACACATATTCTATTTTGGGCATAAGTTACTTGGCTCCAACCTTCCACCCAAAAGTGCCTTTGAGTGTAAGTGGTGTGTTAACCTTATTAGGGAACGTGCCGACGAATACAATTGAGCACCCCGGTTGTGTCGTAATTTCGTTTTCAAGTCAGTGAATTTGCTTCACTACACACCGTACTCTTTCTCTTTTGTGAGATCGATTTTTCGATCTTGCTTAATATATTTTATACTGTTTGTTCTAGAATTCTATTTTATTTACAACATTTTGAAAACGAAATTATGCCTATTACTAATAGTATTGTGAAGTCTCTTCCCGACCTTTCTAAGTTGGAACCTCTTGATGGTAACAACTATAAGATATGGTTACAAAAGCTACTAATATTTTTTGAACAAGTGGAATTAGATTATGTCCTGAATGAAGATGTCATTGAAATTCTCGAGAAGGCAGAAGAAGCTGCTCAAACCACAATGGTCGCCATTCCGGCAGCCACCACGGAAGCCTTAAAGAAGAAGGAAAAGGATAACAAGCTTGTTCGTGGTCATCTCCTTTACCACATGAACAATACTTTGTTTGATTTGTTTGTCAATTTCAGGTCAAGCAAGGTTATTTAGGACTCATTGGAGATGAAGTATGGAGCGGATGATGCCAGGAAAAAGAAGTACGTGGTGGGAAAGTGGATCAACTTCAAATGGATGATGAGAAGCCTATCATGTCTCAAGTTCATGACTATGAGAACATGGTGACCGAAATTCTTGGTGAAGGCATGAAGATGTGTGGGACTCTTCAAGCCAATGTCCTCTTGGAGAAATTCCCTCCCTCTTGGAGTGACTACCGTAATTCTTTGAAGCACAAGAAGAAGGACATGACCCTCCAAGAACTCATTAGTCACATGAGAACCGAAGAGGCTAATCACCTTAAGGATAAGTTTGAAAATTTATCTCTTAGTTCTTCTAAAGCTAATCTTGTTGAGTCTCCTTTGAATGTGTCTAAAAACGGGATAATTCTAAGAAGAAGGGAAACAACAAGTCCAAAAGCAACTTCACTCCAAACAACAAAATCCAAAAGCCAAAAGGTGCTTTCTATGTATGTGGGATCATTGGACACAAAGCATACCGATGCAACTGAAGGCATGGAGATAAGAAAGACAACAACACCTCCTAAGCCAATGTTGTTGAAAAATAAGAAATCATTGCGGCGGTGGTGGTGGAATCCAACTTGATTGAGAACAAAGTGGAGTGACCAAGTTTTGTGCCAATAAGGCCTTGATGACCAAGTTTGAAGATGTTACCGACGGTGATCATGTCTACATGGGCAATAGTAGTACCGTCGGCGTCCTTGGCAAAGGAAAGGTCCATTTCAAACTTACCTCCGAAAAAACTTTATTTTTAAATAATGTGTTGTATGTACCTTCTCTTAGGATAAATCTTGTTTCGGGAGCCCTTCTCAACAAAGCCGGCCTAAAACTTGTCTTTGAGGCCGACAAGATTGTAATGACTAAAATGGAGACTTTGTTGGGAAAGGTTACCTTAATAATGGCTTGTTTGTTTTGAATGTTATGAATGAGAATGAAAGTACTTATTTTGCTTATATTGTTGAGTCTTTGGATGTTTGGCACAATCGTTTGGGTAACTTAAATTCTTCTTATTTAAAAAAGCTAAAAGACATGAATTTGATTAATTTTTCAATGGATGACTAACTTGACAAATGCCAAATTTTTGTTGAGGCCAAACATACTAAGAAACCATTTAAGCAAGTGGTCTCAAGAAGTACAAAATTACTTGAATTGATTCATTCAGATTTAGCGGACTTTAAAAAATGCACTAGTAGGGGTGGAAAAAATTATTATATTACTTTTGTTGATGACTTTTCTCGTTACACCAAATTTTATTTGCTTAAAACAAAGATGAAGCCTAAAGTGCATTTTTTAAGTACAAAGTTGAAGTTGAAATTCAATTGGACCTAAAGATCAAAAGAGTTAGAACCGATAGAGGTGGTGAATATGGTAAAGATATCTTTGAAAGAGACTATGAATGTCATGCCTCTTAGTTCTGGTTTATCCGATAACTTGTGGGGAAAGGCGGTTCTTTCCGCTTGTTATGTACTCAATAGAGTTCATAAGAAATTGGATAAAACCCCCTATGGACTTTGGAAGGGGTATAGTCCAAATTTTAAAATTTTGAAAGTGTCGGGGTGTTTGGCTAAGGTGGCTTTTCCAGATTTTCAAAAATCCACTATCGGGTCTAAAATTTTTGATTGTGTGTTCATTGGATATGCTCATAATAGTGCAGCCTATAGGTTCATGTTATTAAGTGATAGAACAATTTGTGAAGCTAGAGATGCGGTATTTTTTGAGCATATTTTTCCTACGAACAAGTCCTTGTCTTCTAATGTTGATGTGCATGCTAGTAAGTCGAGTATGAATGTGCCTTTTGTTGATTCTATGCCTAGTTCTAGTCTCCCCTCTTCAAATACCAAAGTGGTAGAAGTTGAACCTAGGAGAAGTAAGAGACCTAGAGTAGAGTCTTCCTTTGGACCGGATTTCTTGACTTCTTTTGTGGTAGATGACTTTGATGTGGATTCTTTAAGTGAGCATGTTGTGTCTTTGTTTCTTTTAGAAGAAGACCCTAAGACTTATGATGAGGCAATGAGGTCCATAGATGCTAGTTTTTGAAAAGAAGCCATTAAAAGTGAACTTGATTCTATCATGACCGATCATACTTAGGATCTTTGTGACTTGCCTAAAAATTCTAAACCTATAAATTGTAAGTGGATTTTCAAGAAGAAACCTAGACCGGATGGGACCATAGAAAAGTTCAAAGCTAAACTTGTCATTAGAGGTTTCACCCAAAAGGAAGGTATAGATTTCTTTGACACCTATTCTCCCGTAACTAAGATTGCCACCATTAGAACCTTGGTAGCCCTTGCGGCAATTCATGACTTAGTGGTTCATCAATTGGATGTCAAAACGGATATTCTTAATGGAGTCCTTGATGAAGAAATTTATATGACTCAACCGGAAGGTTTTGTGGTGAAGGGACAAGAACACAAAGTGTGTAAGCTTAGAAAGTCTCCTTATGGTCTTAAGCAAGCTCCTAAGCAATGGTTTGAAAGTTTGATAGCACTCTTAGGAGTTTTGGCTATGTGGCTAATTCTTCGGATTCTTGTTTATATTCTAAGGAGTTTGAATCATATTATGTTATAATATTTATATGTTGATGATATGCTTATTGTTGGTACTAACCTTGATGTGGTGAATAATGCTAAGGCTACGCTTTCTACCAAGTTTGAAATGAAGGACATGGGAGAAGCCGATGTAATCCCTGGAATTCGTCTAAGGAAAACAGAAAATGGTTTTGCCATGAGCCAATCTCACTATGTGGAAAAAATTCTCAAGAAATTGATTCTTTTTTGATGTAGTGCCTTGCAATACCCCATATGATCCCAACATGAAGCTTGAGAAAAACAAGGGTCCTAGTGTATCTCAAGAGCTCTATGCAAAGGTAATTGGTAGTGTGATGTTTCTAATGAATTGCACACGACCCAACATTGCCTATGAGGTAAGTAGACTTAGTAGATATACTCACAATCCAAGTCAAAGTCTTATTAAGGTACCTTAAAGGTACTATGAATGATTGTTTGCATTGTTTTCGCTTTCCTAATATTTTAGAAGGATATTGTGATGCAAATTGGGTAACCGATAATGATGAAATTTGCTCAACTAGTGGTTACGTTTTTATTTTGGGTGGAGGTGCTATTTCATGGAAGTCCTCAAAACAACCATGTTTAGCTCGCTCCACCATGGAATATGAACTTATTGCTCTTGAGTTGGCAGGTCATGAAGTGGAATGGCTTAGGAACCTCCTACCGACATACCATTGTGGGGAAAGAGTTCATCACCGGTGTCCATACATTGTGACTCTCAAGCGACAATTGGAGTGGTCAATAATAACAACTACAATGGCAAAAAGAGGCATGTTCGTATGAGACATAAAGTGTTGAGGCAATTTCTCAAGAATGGAGTGATTGCATTGGACTATGTGAGGTCCGAAAAGAACTTGGCGGATCCTTTGACGAAATGATTGACAAGAAAACAAGTTGGTGAATCATCGAGGGGAATAGGACTTAAGTAGAGGTGATCAAAGTTAGCCCGGCCCGATTTCGGGCAAAATTTTTTTGGCTCGAAATTGAGTTGGGCTCGGCCTGGCCCGAATTTTTTTTTTGCGGGTTTGGGAATGCGTTTTTATGCATATTTAGTTGATTTTTTAGGATCGACCCGAAAATGGCCAGAAAAGTCGCACGGCCCAACCATTTTGGGCGGGTTTGGGCACAAAAATTCTGGCCCGAAGCTTGACCCGGCCCGGCCCCACCCGACCCCAGAAGTGGGCATAATTTTTTAGCTTTGGCCCGACCCGCCTAATGATCACCTCTAGACTTAAGCCATATGATACATTACATTTGTCCTAATTCCTATGGTGATAATGTTTGTAATGTTTGACTTTGTTTGTGAGGTTGATACTAGTAGAAAAATATAAAAGGGCACCGGTTCAAAACCCCCATATAGCACCGATTTTGAACCGGTGTAGAATTGAGGGATGCCAAAAAAAAAAACAAAATTTTAGCACCGATTCAAAACCGGTGCTAATAACGTGTTATTTGCAACGCTTCTGTTCCAAAACCGGTGCGAATAAGGGCCCAAAAAAATTTAAAAAAAACTTTTGGCACCGGTTCAAAACCAAAACTGGTGCCCTTAATGCCCCAAAAAAATAATTTTTTTTTTTTTTTTTTTTTTTTGCATTTTTTTCACTTAAATTGATATAGAAACACTAACATATATACAAAGTTACATATTTTCATTAAAAAAGGCTGTAATATTACAATTTTCGTCCAAAAAAATAAAATCATAGTTTGTCTCATTACTAAAATCACCCACAGCTACCAAGAAATCCAATCATTTCCAGCTCTTCTAAAACTGACATCAAAGTTCAGACTACATCCTTAAAGCAGTCACAGGCTCATAGCAATAGAATGAGAATAATACCTTTTGAAAATGTTCTGATATTCAAGGGAGTGTTACATACATAGTTACAGATCATATGGAGCTTATTTCATCTATTCTACATAGTTAAAAAAATTCAAGATGCTACCTTCTTACACCTCTTGGCAAGCCTAGTTGGCATCGCAGACCTCTCTCAGTCTCTCTTTTGTTTATTGTTTCATTGTTATCGCTATAGTTGCCACACATGCTTGCTGCAGGCTTGCCTTGAGCTTGCGGTGCAACTTTTACATAGAATTATAGCCTCCATAATGTGGATTCACTCTATATGTCAATGGAAAAACATTCCTAAAATGATCTGACAAGAAGCTAGCCTGTGGGGCAGACAATATATCCGGAAAAAGACTACCTGAGCATCTATAGCGAGGTCCACCTCCTTAGCGCATTTAATACAAAACTAGGATTGCTTAGGACAACAATCTTTAGTGCCCCACTGAGATCATCAGTGGATAGCCTTGTGACCCGTGAGGGCTATGCCAACCTGCCTTTCCTCTTCTGTTGACATTTTCCTGAAATTTGATGATTCAAATTCAGATTAAAAAATGCAGAGAGCATATAGACCAATGTTCAACCAAAAACTTCAGAAATGCAAACCACTTTGCTCTAGTGAAAGCTGAATTTACAGTCAATTTCAGCTAGTAAGCAACAAGAAAGCAACCAAAAACATAAGACACAGAAAGAGATAATTCAATGGTTGTTCGAAGAGAGAGTTCGGGTTATATCCTGAATGAGAAATTTCCTAACCATAAAAGAACTAGGAGACATGTCATATTCATAACTTGAATATCATGAGTCATTTTGCATTTTGACATTAGAAACAGCATGGACATCCTCTGCAACACAGACACCTCTTTGAGGGATAATTATAGGGTCATTTGCTTTAAGTGTTGCTTACATGGGTTAGGAGCAAAAAAGAATTTAGGCTTCTTACATGAAATATCTCTAGTTTGTTCAGTTTGAAAGTATTTTGGGTATCAAATTAGAAGTAGTTTGCCAGGTGGTTTCAGAAGTATTTCTGTTACACTGTCATAGTTTTTTTTTTTTTTTTTTTTTTTTTAAAAAAAAAAATTCTTAACCTCAGTGATCTCATGCAGCATGACATGCAAGCTGATTGGATAATTGCTAAAGATATTTTAAAAATTCCAGACTTCCAATGAAACAGTCCAATCACTCCGAAAAAATGGAACAAACCTCATTGCTTATACCCCAAGTCATTTTGGCATAAGTAGACTCTTGAGCAGATGCATGCTTAGCTGTACATCAGCTTCCTCTTATCGTCTATTATCCTGCAACAACAACCTGCCTTTTTTTTATAAACGAGAAAGAATGATAAAATACGACAAAACTTATATAACAAACAACAAACTATGCTCACAAAAAGAATGGTCTTATTGATCACTGGTATCTCACCTTTTCCACAACTCAGGCAAAAATTGTAGCCACTTTTCTTAGAACTTTGCCAACAAGGTTCTTGCCATGACATGTAGATCATTCTTTTCATTAGTATATTTCATCGCATTCTTGAAAATCAACCTCACATCTGCACAGATCTCCCATACATGTTTATATCCACTATCATCCTTAGCTTCCATCTGTTTCTTTATTGTACAGAAATACATCGGGATTTCAATAATCTGGTAGCAACAGAAAACTTGAGGTAGATAATACCAGCAGCCAAATAATATAAAAGGCACACAAAAATATTATTGACAAACAAATCAACCAGTCATTTTGTTCTTTACATAGAAGAATCCTGCAGCAGAATGAACATAGCTTATTTTATTTCATACGTCTCCAAATTCACCACATCCCCTCCCAATAACCGGAAGCATATAGAAGTAAAGGAGCCTTCAAAAGTCTTCCTCCTTCCAGACCCTAGGTGCCCATAGCATGGCAGAAAAAAAAATAATGGAGATTTGAATCATACATAAATTTCAAAGTGGTAATTTAACTCAGATTTCAGGCTAGCTACTTTACATGGTAACATTATGACTTGAAAATAGATGTACGGTCCACCATGGCTGTCCAAACATAACATTAGGTTTTGAGGTTTATCCCTTTCATCGGCTTAGAACCGATCTTCCACGTTTCCAGCTTTAAAGGGCATAAGGGCATTATTTCTCCCCAACCTGGATTAATCTAAATTGCCAAACTCAAGATCTACGAACTGTATGATCAAGGAAAAAACAGAAGATGGTGTGTGCATCATACCAATGTGGAAAATTCAAGGGGTTAGAGCAACTTCAATCAAGTAATATAGGCTAACTAGTTTCAAGGCACTATACTAGAGCACTTCAAGAGGGAATGCAAGGTTTTCTAAGAAGACGAGGAAAAAAGAAGTACTCCTTCCACCTCAGGTATCTTCGTTATAAACTTAACACTTGGGTATAAGCATTTTATGGGTATTAAAATTATGAAATAGTCATATTTGAAGCAAAGTTAGCAAACTCATTTTCGGGATTTTATAAACTTAATAGTGGGAAAATTCTCTTTCCCTTTTAAAAAGCCAATTTCGTTCAATATTTGGGAAAATTTGAACTCCCTCCCTTCCCTCACCTCTAGTCTTGACAGAGTACCAAAAATATATATGGGTTCAGTAAAATGGTATTCCAAATTTTTCATACAATCAAGAGAAATCAAGTTGCAAAGACATAGCCTCTTAAACCAAAGCCTTTAAAAATCAATTCTTGTTCTAGCCTTCTAGGTAAATAATGCATCTCAAAAGTAGATTCTCAAAAGTTCTCCTAATTAAGTTCAAGAACCATAGTCATCTCACAACAAACCAATATTGACACAGATTTACATAATTTCAAGAAATACTGACAATTAAATGTTGTAAAAATTCAGTATTTTGCGGTGCTGCATGTAATTGAGAAAGGAACAATTTCTATGGAGTAATATTGAATTAAAATAGAAAATCAGAAAACCCTTGGTTTCCGAAAACATGAAATTGTAAATTTGAGCAAAACAAAGACTCAAAAAACACAAAATAGTTAAATTATTTAAATAGAAAAGAAGAAAAAAGCACGAACCTTTAGGAAAAATCATTTTAGGAGGGGGTAACGACGAGAGGTAGGTTTGTACCAGCTCCTTGCGTCACTACCGCCGTTGCTAGGACCGAGCGACGTGCCGACAACAAGAAAGAGGAAGAAGAGAAAGAAGATAAGGAAGGAGCAGCAGGTCGTTGATTAGGGTTTGTTAGAGGAGAGAGAAGAGAAAGATAAAACGGCGCTGAGGAAACAGAAAAAAAAAGAGGGGAATGAAAGAGAAAGAAGGCTCAATGGCTTTTTTTATTACAATTCGCACCAGTTTGGTTTGAACCGTTGCGATTACTCTTTCCCTCTTTTTTTTTTTTTTAATTCGCACCGGTTTGAACTGGTGCTAATAACATCATTTCGCATCGCTTTGGTTAAAACCAATGCTGTTTTAGGGTTTTTTTATGTGTCTTGCAGGAGAGTTACAATCCCTAGTATGTGAGACCGACGCCTATACCTACAAAACCACGAAGACTCCGGTTGGTAGGAGCTCCGCCTTCGACGATCAAGTCAGTAACGTACAGGAGGAAAAAGATGCGGAAACAGTAATTACTCCTCGCGGATACAGGAGGATTCTGCAATTAATATTGCTCGGGATTCGTGTTTGTATTTATGGATGCCCAATAAATGAGGTCTGACTCACTATTTATAGTGGGGGATATCAGTGCCCCATTTAGGGTTCAACAGGACACGTGTCAACAAGGGATTGAAGTCCTGTTGACCTATGGCATGCTGCCACGTGTCGCAAGGCCATTGGGCCATGTGTCTAGGGTAATTTTTACCCTAAACATTTTCCCCTCACAGGTGCTGACGTGGTTGTGCCACGTGGCACCTGTGACGGTTACATCATTTTTTTTTAATTCAAAATTGAATTCTGCCTGTTGGAGGAAAAAGGAGCGGAAGGTGAAGGGACACAACGGTTCACCTTCTGAGGATTGCCTATAAATAGGCATTCTCCTCCTCCATGTTCCCATTTACAAACTTAAGCTTTTTCAAAGAATTTTGAGAGCAGCCGGTGTTGAGAGCAGAGTTCTTCAAAGATTTCCGAGTGTACATCCGGTCATTTAGCATCTTCCAAAGAATTTTCTGCCGTCTGTGGGTGTTGTGGACAGCTTCACAAATTTGCAGCTGCTACTCAGAAGACACATCCGGCTACGAGGACGCCTGTGTCTTTGCAAGCCATCTGGACGATTTGCAAGCCTGGTCAAGCGGTTTTCTCTTCTTCTCAGATTATTTAGGTACCGCCTCTGATCTTTCTAGCTTTTCCATGAATTTACGTTTGTGCTTCTTTCTTGCTTTTTTCTTTATTAGTACCATAAGTAGATGTACCTTTATACCCACACCCGGAACCTAGTTTTGAGACCAACCGGTCCCTTAGCACGGCTGAGTCTAAGACTGGGGGTGTCGCCTATGGGCGTTGGAATCTTTCTTTTTCATCTCCCAATTCGACTGTCTCTGTGTCTGTGCAGGACACAATGGCTAGAACCAGAAAGACGGCTGTGGATCCCAATTACAAAGGCGGAGGCTCAGAAGAGTTGTCGCTTGAGGAGAGGGTCCCAGATGAGATGACAAGGGGATCTCTAGGAGGCACCCCAAGCACCCCTAGTGATAGAATTCTAGAGTCTTACATTGGAGGCGGTGAGGAAGCCGCCTCTACTTCTGGGGCTGAGGATCAGAAAACCTCAGCAAGAAGTGAACAAAACCCCGCTTCCAGCTCCGGCTCAGGGTCTGGTTCTGATAGAAGCGGTAGTAGTAGCAACTATCTCAAGCCGTTTGTGGATAGCGAGGAAGAAGAGAGGCCTACATGGAACAATAAAGGCGACCCTCTTATGATCACCTTCTCTGCAAAGGACAGAGCCAGCATGTAGAAGGGCTTGGCTGATTTCACACTCAAACGGCCCTTTGGGGAAGGGTATAAATTAGTTATACCGCCTATGATGGGGACCATCGCTTGGGAGGACAACCAGCGCAATGCAAACGGTTATTTCGGCTGCTATGAGGCGGCTCTCTTGGCAGGGCTCTGCTTCCCCCTTCACAACACAATAAAGGCCATACTCAGGGGTTATGGCCTAGGCATCTGGCAACTTACCCCTAATTCTAGGGTAAATATACTGGGGTATATTGCCGCCTGCGAGATGCAGAACCTGAATCCCAACTGGGAGGCTTTTGCCCACATGCATTACCTAAGACGAATCCCAGGCGGTTGGAGGGCCTGGTACACTTTGACCACCTACCCTAAGTAATTAATGATGCTTGACAAGCCGTCAAAGTGGTCCAATTGGAAAAACCGCTTTTATCTGGTCAAAGCCCCAACCAGAGAAGAGAACAGAGAGTTCCAGACATACAACCGAAAACCTGAGCTGCTTGGGCAAAAATGTAAAATGCCCCAAATACTGGATGAGGATTATGAGGCAATAATAGAGTCCGGTTTCTTCGAGCTCACCACCACCACCATCTCAACCGGCGAACTCATCAGCGTACCCAAGAATTGGGTATCTAAACATGAGTTTCTGAGGGACGAGGCGTTCTTGTCCGCCTGCTAGTTAAGCACCATGTTTGAAAAATGTAGGTTTTGGGAGTCTCAGCCGGCCATCTTGTGCCGGATGTATGTTTTTTGTTTCATTTAGATATTTGTTTTTGCACTTTCTTCTAATCAGGCGTCTCTTTTTATTTTGCAGCTGAAGCTTCAAACATACTGCCATCATACAAGAAGTCTGCAAAGAAGGCCTCTGACATTCGAAAAGAGAATGTAGAGAAGAAAGCTGCCCAGGCGGCCAAAAAGGTAAGACTGCCTGCTTCCCTTGACTTCTGTAATTTTGACTTTGCTTTAAAACGTCTAACCCCATGATTTTGTTTCAGGATAGGAGCAAAGCTCCCCACTCTCTACAAAAACAGGTCCGGCCAAGGCCGGCTGGGGAGGAACCTGCCCCCAAAGCTCAGAAGACATCACACGCCGACCGGCTGACGGTCGGCGGCAAAACGGTGAAGAACACCGGACTTGGGCTCGACCTCTCTCACAAGAGGTTGGATGTCCCTCTAGCACCCCAAACGGTAGGCGGTACATCCGCTGAAAAAGGCCCACGCGGCACCTCGGAGACCCAAGGTACGGATGACCCCTTCAATCTCACTCTTCTTGGCCTGCCCATGCGGATCAAGTCTTACTCCCAACTCCAGCCGGAGGACTCGTCATCCAGCCGGCAATCTATTGGAGGGGCGTATGCTACTTTCTCACCATCTGTTTCTGGTCCAGATAAATCTCCTCGCTTGCCGGACGTGACACAATACGCCCGGGCCATGCTAAAAGTCGTCCCTAGGGATGAGAAGGAGGCGATCCCTAGGATCAACGTCTTCAATGTTGACCGTGTGATCGTCAGCCTGACTGAGTTAATCTTAAGCATCCATCTCTTTAAACAACTCTCACATGCATCCGGTATTTTTTCTAATTCCTGTTGTGTCTTTGCAGTCACTGCTGCGCGTGGAGGGGCTGAAGAGAGCTTATGCGCGCAAACAAGAGGAGGTAAGAAGAGCCAAACGGGACGCCTCAGACACCCATAATGTAGCTCAGTATTCAATGATTGTGCATGACTTAGAAACTAAATCTATAATCATGCAGCAGGCGGACCAGATCAAGACCCTTCAAAAAGCCCTCAATGAGTCCAAGGTCAAGACTGATAACCTTCAGGCGGCGTTAGACAACGCTGAAAAGGAGTTGAAGGAAAACGAAAAGTCTCTCCAGACTTTGGAGCAGACTCAGAAGGAGAACTCCTCCCTAAAGCAGGAAAATGATCGTCTGAAGAAGGATGTTGCCAACTTAACGAAGAACTTCGAGGCAACCCTTCAGGCGGAACAGAGCCGGCTCATTGAGGAGAATGAGCAAGACTACGAGAACCGCATGAAAATGGCGTTCTCCCTTATCCATACGAATGCGGACTATTCCGCCTGGGAGCTCGCCTATCGATACGCGGATCTTGCCATTCTAGCTCAGGAGGAGGGTAATCCGGCGCTAGAGCCCTATGAGTAGTGGGCCAAGAAAGAAATTGAGAAGATGCAGGCTGAGGCAGCCGAGGAAGAGGAAGAGGAGGATCAGGTGGAAATTGCGGAAACCGCCAACCTTCTTGGCTCTGAAGCTGTTGCCAACCAAGCCCAGCCGGCACAAATTCAGGCGTCTGCTGCTCAGACGTCGTCTACCCGCGCGACTCTTGAGATAGAGTAGCAATTACCTCCCGGCCTACGTGCCGTGTACTTCTTTGTATTTTCACGGGATGACGATTCGATTAACAGTATAACAATTTTAATTTTCGAATTTTAATTGAAATATATTTCGCCGACTGTGTCCGTTTTGCCTTGATGTGATTCTTCCTTATTTTTGCTTTGTGTTTTTCATTTCTGCAAATTGCAAATGTCAAGTATTGCGCCGCCTGACTTTTTACGCATACCGGGTGGGGTTACTGAGTTTGCCCCTAGATAGCTGGCTGGTAGATTTACGACATACCAGGCGGTTATCCATGTACACCCGGTAGGGTACAGGCGTTAATTTTAAGCACTCGGCTACAATGCCGACTGTTTATCAATTCTTTAGGCCAAGGATCAGACCTTGCTAGCCTTGATGGCATAACCGTTTGTAGTGCTTTTTGTGGAAGAACTGGTTATGACAGGACCAAGATTTCATATGACGCCTTTATCCTTTGAAGAAGTATGCGGTAGTTTTGATATGATGGGAGTACCGGCTGCTCTGTTTGCAGTGCTTAGTCGGTTATCTTGGATACAATGGATCATACAGGCGGTATGATATCATATAGCCTTGGCTAGTTTAACCCGTCTGGGTCATGATCGCTAGAACAATGTACCACCCGTATGTGAGATGTTCTCTTCGGAAATTTCACCCGTATGGGCGTCTCCGGATGTCTGTCTTTTGGGAGCAGATGATTTAGTATTAAATTGACCGGGGGGTCTTTTAGTGTTACGCAAGCCGCCTGTGACTGGCACAAGACTTGGCGTTGATTGCAAAGTTAAACATACCGTCTGTGCTAGGCACGGGTCAGCATGTATACAAAAATTAAGTAGACCGCTTGTGTTAGGCAAAAGACATGGTGTATGCATTAAAATTAAATAAGCCGCTTGTGTAGGGCACAAGACGTGGCGCATGTAAACAGAATAAGATGTAGGAAATAAAGCGTTCTCATTAACATACTTTATTGACAAAGGATATACAAAAGCTCATAATTAGTAACTTT